CTGCGGGCGATTTGAATTTGGATTCCTCCGAGGAAAATGCTGCACCTAAAATTGTTCCAACGCCCGGTCTGGTGTGTATGACGACTCCTGGCTTTGCGGCGACTCTTGGAACCCTGCTTGCTACTCTCATTTGTTCGTGTGCGGTGTCTGCAATTTTGTTCTTTAAATTGCGGCCTATAACGAGTTTAAAGAAGAAAACGGCAGCTATCACGACATTAGCCCGACCACACCCACCTGCAGGACCTCATGTAATCTCAAAGAGTCGGTTCTACTCGTAACGTTGTCACTTTAAATAAATTTGTACATATTAGTGTAAAGAGACTGAAGTACGTTGAACATGCCATTTGCATTAAATATCAGTGCTTGTGTGAATGCGAACTTCGGGAATTTATTAAATGTAGTGTAATATGTAGTTTTAGAAGTCTTCTTTAACGCGAGACTTGTATTACTGCGTTGGTTGTTTCTAGAAGACGTTTTTTATTGTCGTGACGTTTCACTTTTTACTACCTCCTATGTTTCGAAAGTTTGCTAAATTGATCAGTTGAAAATATCTAAATAATTATTGATCTTTTAATTATTTTATTAATACGATATGCAATATTTGGATATGATGTAGTAAATTCTGTTGTGTTCTTAACTTTATCGACATATGTACAAATTTAGATGAATATGTTTCAAGCAATAGTTAATAGTGTAAGTACAGTCTTCCGTTACCCCTTTTCGAAGTAAATTTGATTCAGGGGCAACGGAAAATCTAATACGTGGTATATCAGCATTTAGGAGAACCGCTAGAATTAATTTAACTTGTCATTAGTATTAATATTATTTATTTTAGTTTAGTTGTAGTCATATTACTCCTAATTTAATTTTGTTTCAAACCACCTGAGTACCTCCCCCTTTGATAAGTTTTTCTTATTACAAATGTTTTAAAATGTTTAATTCCTTAGTGCTGGCAACTTAAGAAAACCCAATTTCTTAAAATAATTATTGTAGTAAACGAATTATTATCGTTGTTGTTATAAACTTTGTGACCTTGACAAATCTGTTATAATTAATTCGTATTAAAAGGATTATTTCTATTTCTGAGTTATTTTATTTATCACCACTTTTACAAATCAATGCGTATAAGATTTCTTAACATCAGTACAAAAAATCTATACTAGTAGTAGCTGTTTCATGCTGTTTGCTGCTGCATGCTGTTTCGGCTTTATTTTATACATCTGTGAATTTATCTATTGCAAATATCAAAATTCAAATAGTTTCATCATCAAAATGCACAGTTTTACCTGCGAGAATTGGTATATGTATTTTACAAATTATTTACTCCCTAAGCTAAAAAAAAGTTTAATAGCGTGTTAATATGTACTTTAAAGCGTGTCGTAAGTGTAGGGTGTTTTATTAGAAAAAATAAAAAAAATATATACTGTGATTTCTGATATCCTGCATAACTAAGTTGTGTATGTTTATGCATTATTATATTAAGAATAGAGAGTATAGATAGACAATAAAATGATGAAATGTTATAGGGTTTATGCCTTCACGTTATTTCGTTCAAAGATAAATGTAATGGAAAAAACCACTCGAGATAGGGCTACAAGCAAATCGCATCGAAGAAGCAAGATTGACATGTACATATTCGTAGATGTTTGAACATTTGAAATTTGTCATTTGAAAATTAAGTTTTTACTGAATGCAAACAATAAAATTTGAAACGTTATGCATTATCTGAGGATTTATATCCGCACCGGGATTGGACCGAACTTTGTACTTATATTAAAAAAAATCAACAAAAAGTGATAAAGGTAAAATGGGGGAACAAAACACCGAAAATCACTTTCAACATAAGTTTTATTATTCCATTAAACAAATTAACAAGTCATCACGCCCTTAAACATATCGACACAATCATACGGAGAACAAAATCATACATTATGTTTGATCATAATAAATAAATGAAACCCACAGTAAAGGAAACAAAGATACATTAAACCGAAAATACCGTAACCGCATCAAAAGAAAACTTAATAAAATTTAATTAAATCCAGAGTATTATAAAAATAAATGCGATAAAATAAAAAATTGCACTAAAAACATTATATTCTCACAAAAACATTTTCTTAAACGTAATTATAAATGTAAATGCAAGTTTTTTGGACGAACTACATAATTATAATTATTTTGGTTGAAGAAAATGATTCGTTGGTAAAACGATGTTTAAACATACATAAAAATTGAGTAGAACATATTTTTACAATTTAAAACATTATTTTCTGATTTTTAACATAATAACTACTTATCTTTAAAACATTTGACGATAAAAATAAAATACGAGATTACATAAAAATATTAAAACTTTAACCGGAGCGATATGCACATTTATTTTATTTAATATTAGAAGACTATTAAAGAATTTGCCAAAAAAAAAATCGTAAAATGGCGAAAACATCGATTTACCTATCAATTCCGAATTCCTTCATTACAAGAAAACTTACCAACTAATTACACTAATATTAGCAAATAATTATGTTCAAATACAATTGTTGAGCAAAATTAGGAAACATTATAAATAATAAATGCAACATAAATGCAAACTTAATATTTCGTTTTACAAATATCTTAGCTGTTCAATCGACAAGCGTCGCCCTTCGCATTCCGTTACACGTATTATGTTCTACGCAGCGACTCGCGCGAAGATAAGAGCTAAGATATATGAAAACTATAATAAAAAAGAGCGTATGAAGTTATTACATTAACAATTCATTGGTGCTTTAATTAAAATCGAATCTAAATTATTTTATACTACGTATTAAATGCCGGAATTAAATGCATATGCAAAATAAGTGTTTAGGTACAGAAATATCGTCTATATTATCTTACAATTAAATTTATAGTAAGTTACTAATAAAATTCACAATATTCGTTTATGTGAAAAGTAAAAAGGCATTTATTTAAATTTTCTAGATACAAAAAATCATCATCTCCCCAGCCTTATCCTACTCCCGTAGGGTCGGCGCACCGGGTTTTCGTCCTCCAAAGCACTCTATCATCCGTCATCTCAGTCATCACTCCCTTCTTGATCATGTCACTTTTCACGCAATCCATCCATCTCTTTCTAGGTCTACCTCTACCGGTGTACCCCTCCACATTCACTACTAACATCCAGATACAAAAAATAGTTCTGTTAATTTATAAAATGTCGAATATAAAATATATTATTGATTTTTCGTTTATATTGATTTAAATATTCAAAGATTATCGATTCTTAACTAATTCTTAAAACTAATGGCATGACTCAACTCTTACCCACTAAAGAGACAATTAAGTTACTGAGTGTATAAATGAATTCTGTACAAAACTTACGATAAAATGTATAATATTCACAACAGTGAAAATCAGGTTACAATGGACTTTGTCCGTAGCACGACTTAGCACCATCTGTATTAATGAGGTGTTCAGATATACAAAAAAATATTATTAATTTTACAAGAAAAGACATTTCAAATAGTATACAAAATAAACCACTGACCTTTCAAACATTTCTAACTGTACGCAGAGATAAGGGAGTAGCATAATTTAAAAAATCAACTAAATAAGTGGCCATAAAACAATTGAATCCAGTACATTTTATAGAGAAATAACTAATTTATTAAGAAAGAGATGCGGTTTTACTGTGAGTTTTGACTGGTTTGACTTAAAAGATACCTAAGTATTGTTGTCTCTTTACATTAAAAGAAAAAATAAGGGACAGATGTCACGTCAGTCCAAACCCACAGTTAACCCTTAATTCGATAGTCCAAAGAACAAGTGATTAAAAAAAATAGTAAACTATATTAAATATGAAACGGCTTAACTCGCGTGAAAAATTTGGTATAGACACCGAGTTTCAAACCCGTCGGAGGTCCTTTACCGAAATTTTCAAGTGAATTAAGCCGCGTTTTATATTTAACATTGTAACTATGTCTCACAAAAGTTTTAATATGTCAAATTTTTATCTACTAAACGAGTTTAGAGTCATACGTAAGATTTTGTTGTTACTTGATAAAAATTTATATAGTTCTTTGTTATAAAAGCCCTTCGAATTAAGGGTTAATTTTGCTAGAACTAAGACAGTCTTGTTAAGGATTACATCAGCCTTCGTGTGAATGGTGTGGATGAGGTGAGCCGAGTAGTCGGAGCGCCATCCAGGCGGCGAGGGAGTGCGAGGCGTGCGCGGGGGCGGGCGCGGGC